ATAATAGTATACGATTAACCATCAATTTCGTAAAATGTGTGTTAGATTTTTTTTTATTTTACCTTCGGTGCGTTTTTTTTTTTGTGTTGATGAATTTGATGATCTTTGTTCATTGTTCTCAATTTAAAAAAAAAAAATCAAGATTCATGTGATGAATGAATCATGAATACAAATTTTAAGAGATTGTTGCCTCACTGCAGACTTGTATAGATATAATAGATATAAAATTTATAATTATGAAAAAAAAAAAAACAAAAAAAAAACTCAAAGCTGTTGTCTTGTGCGGATGTCGAAGTGATTGAAGCATCGTTGTTCTGCTTTAATTAAAAAAAGACCAGTTAAAATATATTTAAAAAAAAAATTCAATGTTAAGCGAATGAGTGATACATGTACATGTAATGTAATATCCGCAAACTTTATAAAAGTATATATCTTTCATTATTTATTTGTTTCATTTTCAGACCAATGATGTGTGGTTAAGTTCCCGGGTCATTGTGATCGATTCAACCCCTAGAGGGCCTAGATTTCGCCAGGTTTGTTTTTATCAATTTGAATTTTTCTAATTTCTATTTTTTAAATTGTAAATATTCTACGATCAATCAAGAAATGCAATATATAAACTATCGATTAACCAACAAATGTGAATGAATGACAAACTTTCATGAAAATTATCTTAATAAAAAAATGTGAATATGGATTTTTTTTTTATAGGTGAGGAGAAGAATTGACTTTTCCTCGGAGGCTGGGGATGGCGCATGCGTGACCCTCCAAACACCTGCAGCGTCCCCCCAAATTCCTGCAGATACGGTACATATATCTTATATTTTCATTAACAACGATTTTCAAAATGTGGTACTATACCTTGCATGTCTGCTGGTGTCTTTGATATTTTCTCTCGTCCAAGTATTCAGCGCTGCAGTTATCACACTTAAATAATTTATCCTTATGCTCCTTGCGGACATGTAATGTGCGATGTGATGAAAACTTAAAAGTATAGTCACAGTAAAAGCATTTAAATTCTGCTTTGCACACTCTAACATATCGATCATAATTGTCTTTACGATTTAGTACCTTTTCACAAATATCGCAACGAAAACTATTTGTCTTTTCGTGTACATTTTTTATAATGTCGATTGTAATTAGAAACAGTAATAAAGGACTTGTTACATAAAGCACAAAATGTCTGCATAATTCACAGTCGTTCATTCTAATGACATTGAACACCTAATTAAACAATGAGTACATTTTCCTCAGTCTTATATAGTACATCATTAGTCATACACATGCATTACATTATTTTACATAGATAATCTTTTTCCGGGTTATGACTGAATTCGTCATGTGTTATCCGAAAGTAAACAATGACGGATCCAGGGACGGCGCACCGCACGTGCGCCCCCCCCCCCTCCCTGTTTGAATTTTTTGTGTATATAAAACTTATATATGTTCATTATCCTAAATAAATCAAGGAATAACATTTCTTATATGTAAAAAATGTGTAAGCTTCCGAGGGATTCACCCCGAACCCCCATCAGAACCATGGCCTTAAAAGACCTACTGGGGGGGGGGCTTCATTACTGCCCCCCTCCTCCTACCTTTTACTGCACCCTCTCGTTACGAAATTCCTGGATCCGCCACTGGTTAATGTATTTCATGTAAGGTCATCTTTAAAATTGTTTGGCTGTGCTCTCCCGACCGACTCAATTCCTCTACATCCCAGAAAGCGAAATATATTTTTCTTTATTCCTTTTATCTTGTCAACAAATATTTTTAAAAATTTGAGTCGGGAAAGCACAAGCAAACATTTTTTTAAGGATGATCTAACCACGATTATCTAGAGGACCTGTTTTATAAAGAAAAAAAATTACGACTACGACCAAATTTAATTCTGCTAATACCTTTCTTTTTCTATATTAAAAAAATCTTTTTAATTGTGTAGAAAGATACTTTTAGCAAGTATAATTTTAAACAAAATTATCAATTTTGCACATTTTCCAATCAGCAAGGATTTTTTTTTTGGCTCGTAGTCGTAAATTTTTTCTTTAGAAAATACAGGCCTCAGTTTTTTCCTTCCTTCTCTTTTCGTAGGAAATAAACTTACTGAACACAGATTTGTTTTATACATCCTTAAGTTTTCCTGTCCTTTTCATTACAATATAATTTATCTTTTCCAGACAATCGCAGAAGAAAGTATTCAGCAACGTGTGCTGAGGCTTGAAGAAAGTTTGGAAGCACTGCGACAGGAGCTGGAAGGGAGGGGAATCCTCCGGAAGTTGAATGTTTGCAATTTTTGCAAAAATTAAAAATGTTTAAAATTTCAACCTGTCTTTTTCAATTCTGTTAACGGTTGAAACAGACTGTAGCAATGTACTCAAAATTTACAAAAGAACCACTGGCAGAATAATACAAAGATTACAAATAATTCAAATATTTATATTTCGTTTATTAAATACATAAAGAATTTCAGAAAAGTCAACATGTTTATAAAAATTATCATTACAAAAGGATATCAATATGTCAGTCTGGTGGGTGAGCGCCTCTGTCTTGTCGAACGGCGGAGTGGTGCTGGTTGAGGCGCTGGCATGACTGGTGGAGGTGTTGGGGCTCGAATATGTACATCTTGGCCTCTTCTCCTCACACATACCGCCAGAATGATCACTAAAAAAAGTTAATCATTCTTAAAATCCCTCATGACAACCGCGTCAAACTCGGTTAGCGACTGGGACTAGATCTCGAGCTCCACCCGTCTCCTCAGACATCTACTCTTAATCGCACAAATGATCATCACTGAGAAAATCAATACCACTACACCCGTCCCTCCAAGGATAACATATATCCAAGGTTTGTCTAAATAAACAAAGGGTGGCTTTAGAAACAACTTCTACATAATAGTAATTTAAATAATGCTTTATTTTATTTATTTAAAATTATTTATTTTTTAATTCAAAACTTACTGAATGTAATAGCTGTCAATTCGACGGTTCTGATGGTGGTCGTTGCAACACTGTTTGTGACCCCACTGCTGTGCTGGCCGTTCTGAAAAAAAAAAGAAAAACATAAATTTCAATTTTATTTACTTTTTAATTTTTTTTTAAATAACATCGATTCAATTAAAAATTCTTGACGATTTATTTCCCTGACAAGTTTTCCTTTGAAATTTAAAATTATTGTTAATTTTTTCATGACATAGATAACAAAATTAAATAAATAAAAAAATATAATTACCTGACACGTGAGGGAACCTATCCGCACCGTCGTCCAGGCGTTAGCGGTGATGGCATCGCAATTAGTTTGCGGGTCGCGGATAATTAGCCTGGTCAATGCTGGGTATTCCTCGACGTTAATCTTCCCCATCGCCCTCTCCAGGATGATGAAGTTTGCCATCGGGTAGTTACCACGCTCAAACTCCCTCCAGTCCCGACACTGCACCACTCCCTCTGATACCCCGCACCGCGCATCAACGTGAACCACCAGAATTACTAAGATTAGCATGAACATTGTCTCTTCGAATTTGGAATTAAGATGGCCGAATTTTTTCCTTCATCTCTTATATAAAAAATAATGACACATTCCAATTAGGGGTGGAATGGTTTTTTAAATTGCGTTGTCATGAATTTTTCCCCCCAAAAAGTAAATTCTTACAGTTGATAAGTACAGGGTATTATTGTTTTTAGAATAATAGGGAAAAAAATTGGATATAAGGTACATACATAGTTCTTTAAAACTAATAAAAGACGTTCAACATCCCTGTTTAATAAAATGGAACTGGTCCTTGACCAGTGGAAGTGTCCATATTGGTAAAGTTGCCTCAAGGTTAAGAAAAATAATTATTCACAAAGAAATTGATTAATAAACGATTAATAAATGTCATAACTATTAAAAACAATAAATCTTAGTTATATGCCACTTCAATTATTCGATTCCGTAGAAGCTCAAAGTCAGTAATTTGAGGAATTCCATTCCTTTGCCCTCTTGTGAAAGTCGAGTCACCCAGGCGCTAGCGCCGCCTTTGATGTTACTCGAAGACTGTCCCCTCGCGTAGCGAACCAGCTGCATGATGGGGATATTACGCAATGTGTATATACGTCTGTAGTAGGAATGATTATACACGATTTCTAGCTAGTACAGTCTTGAATCGAGTTTGCTGAACATTACGACTTTATTCTCGTGAAAGTATTACGTTTTATTTATTCAAAAAATAGTAAATCGTGACTTTTTATAAATTGTCAGTGATTTTACTGAAGAAAAGTAGTATTATTAATTAGGTTTTTTTTTGTTTTTGTTTTTTTTTTTAAAAAGATGATTTTACTGTTGGATTTTCAAATTTAGTTACCCTTAAACCTCGATTGTATTCTAAAACTTAATTCTTTAATGTGAATGACTTTTTTTCCCTTGAATATACAAACATCGAGAAATAAACACAGTTAAAGAAGAGATTAATGAATTGTAGGTTGTTGTTTTTTTGTACCCCCCTCCCATTATGTATGATCAAACGCGAGTTAAAATAAACATATTAGACACCTCCAATGGTCAAGGAGAAGTAAAAAAAAGTATTACATATATATATATATATATATATATATATATATATCAATATATATATCAATATAGCGTAATAAGTTTACTCTTAAAATAAGTAAAAGGTAGAATGACCCCCCCCCCCTCGTTGTTTTAATGAAATTTAAATTGAAGCAGGGTCTGAATGAGAGAAAAAAAAATGATAAAATTTTAAAAGGGAAAATCTATACCACGCTACTGTACACCAATTAACAATCATAATAATTTACCAGGTATTGTTCGGCTCCTGCAGAGAGGACAGCCACGGGACTTCTTCAAACGCTGGAAACACGCCATGCAACAAGTTATTTTCTTGCATGTGTAGCACACATAGCTTACCCTTTTCTCCTCGCAGCAAAGTCTGCATTCAAAATACGTTATTGGAAATCGTGCATACATGTAACCCCACCTCACCTCTCCGGTCTGTTCATTCGTTCTGTGGGTCATGATTTTTTGAGGGGGGTTCGTATAGAGTGAGGGTTCTGTTTAGAAGACGCCATATGGTTTCCTTTGCAGTTTTTACATCTTGGGTCCTTCTGGCAACTCTTTCCGTCATGCCCCTCTTCACCACACCTGAAACACGTATCAGAGCCTTTACAATTATTTTGTCCATGCCCAAATCGCTGGCACTTGAAACAACGCAGCGGATTTGGGACAAACATTTCAATTTTCATCTGGTACAACCCAACTTTGATGTTTGTTGGTAGTGTTGGCATGCCAAATGTAAGTAAGTAAGTATTCGTTGGCTCAACATTTTCGTTATGTTTTTTTGTAAATCGTTTCACAGAGACCACTCCCTGGGATTCCAATTCAGATTGTATTTCTTGTTCTGGAATTCCATCCAGGTCATGATCCCTGTCAAACAAAATACCCTTGCTTTGGTTAAGTCCACTATGGACTTTTCCAAGAACAGGAATATCAGCTAGTTTTTTCAATGCTAACAAAGATGTCGAATGTTGTTTTTTGGTGACTTCAATGAGAAGAGCACCAGATTTCAATTTTTTCACTGATTTCGGTGTACCAATAATACCTTGTATCCCTTTTTGTATGACGAAAGGTGATACTTTTGTTAAAGGCTTTGAAAATTGATCAGATAGTTGTGCTTCAAGTGTGATGAAGCAAGGCCAGTGTTCCACAACCAAATTGATTTGTTTCTCATTAAATGAGATTTCTAGACCTGATGGGTAGCAACGTTTTTTGGAGGAAGCCATGGTTAGATAAAGTATTTTCAGAATCCTTGCTCCCCGCCCGCCTCGGAGCGCCAACAAGGGCGATGTCAAATCAAACGGATATCCAGTAAGAATGACACCAAGAGGATACAAAGAAACTATACTCGAACAGAATATATCCGATTGACCCTAAGCCACCGCTTAATATGTATATCAACATGGAAACGTCAGCGTATTGGAAACTTGCAAAAGCAAGACAAGTTATTATAAAGGTATTGCAAATGCATCAATACTAAGGCATGTTAGATAAAATCAGCTCGGCGTGACTAGCCGATTGATCAAGTCGGGCCAAACTTGACCTCCCGTCTAGATGAATATGGGGCCAAAGTGGAGTGTTGGTCTATCAGGTGCATTACACCCAGCATCTGCAGACCTCAGCCACCAGGATCCCCTTCTCCACCAACACGGGTCGCAACCCACGGCCAACAGGTTGCCCCATTTATTCGCCTCATATGACATGCAAGGGGGTGCCAGGGACCTATTCTTATCACCCCGGGTCCCCACGGGGGGACATGAGTTAGAGAAGCAAAATAGAATGCTAGATAATTTACCTTTATGTTGAAATATGCCAAACACGAATTTGAATAAAGCCATGTTTCAGGTGTGATGATTTTACTATCATTCTGAATTTAAATTGGATACATTGATTGTCACCAGGGAAAAGGGGGTGGGTGGGTAGTAATTGTATCTAAAATATCTCTTGTTTCAGCTTATTGTCGGTCATCGAGGCTATTTTTTCATTGCCATTTAGCTATTGCCATGATTGGACTGAATCAGTTAAAATACAGCGATTTCTTATTCTGCTAAAGATTAGATTTCATCTTATTTCAGGTTTCAATATGGGCCTTTTCAAAGGCAAACGCAGAAAAGGGAAGTCATTAAGATTTATTTCTTGAAATGAGTTAAATGATACCTCATTGAATATTTTTGTAACCTGTTCTAGTCATTACAATGACAGTAATATTTACAGTTTATTTTTGTCTTAATAAAAGTGTGTGAACAGTTGTTGAGATTTACAACACCATTATCTGTAATACATGTATGTAAGGCTCATTTTATTTGAAAGCAGCTGTATCGTGATACATGCTGTATTGCATTAGTGTATCGTGATAGGTATCGTATCGTGAGATAGCTGGCGATACTCAGGCCTACCAATGAAGGAATGCTCAAATCAATAACAAAAACTGGTGTATCGAGAGCATCGAACCACAATATCAGTTATTCATCCTGAAGACTTTGAAAGTATATCTACTTATTGTCTTTCTGCTCAACATTTCCCAACTGTTCTTCGCCAATGCATCTGGTGCAATTTGTCAATTCATTTACTAATACCGGGCTTCGAGTTTCACCATCAATTACAGATTGATTCATTTCAGTTTCATTAGGATCAGCACAATTTAGAGTACACAACACTTCGCCATGAAACACAACCAACAAAAAATTTCAGGGAGGTATTGGATCAGACGAAGCCCCTGCTGGAAAGCGGTTTACGAGGTTCCTTGTAGTGATATCTGCCCTGTAAAGAAGTTTTCGAAAAAGAGTCGGCTCACCAAGGGCCGCCAGAGAACCAGAATTGTCCCCTCCCCTAAAAGTCTCTTTTTTCAACAAAAAAGTCATTCTGACAATTTAGAAAGTTATGTCTGAAAACATGTATCCTCTTTAGCGTCCCGGAGGTATTTCTCCCCGTTCGAGTCGTCACCGTTAATTTCGTTAAATTCCCGCAATATAATGTCTGACGGAATATTTTTCAGGCAGTCCTGGAGGTATATATCCCTCTTTTCCTCCCACGAAGATAAGCAATCCATTTCCATGTGTTGTTTCTGGCTGGGATGATCCGTCAGGCATCCATGGCAACGTTTCTTTAGATTTACATGTAATCATCTTCCGCAAGATTTTCACGATGATGGATTTCATGCACTGATCCATCTGCTCGATGTCCTGATATGTCTCTTGGAATTTTTCCCATTCATTTTCGTTCAAGGCAATACCAAATGTGGTAGGAAGGGCAGGGTCGACATGGAAATTGAAGACTTTAAAATCCACTATGATTACATTGCTCTCGGGGAATCTCTTCGCCGTTACTCGCTTGTTTCCCTCCTCGTTTCTCTGTAAGTCCCAGGTTTTAGGCGGTGTTGTGGAGTTCTCTCTCAGTTTTTTCACATGAACGTGAATTTCACTGATAATGTTTATTAGCAGCAACCACTCGGCGCCGGAAAAGGATATTTTTTTTTCCTGATGGTCCACATTGTTCAGTCTTATTTTCTTCTCTTTCTGGTAGATACCAGTGGTTAGAGTGATTCGCTCGCTCAGGAACATGATAAGAGTAGTCTAATTATTCGAATAGAGTTAAGGTTTTAAAAATAATCCTGTCTGTGATGTCATTAGTCAAAATGATGTCATCTATATCCAATCACACTCCAGCTTAATTCCCGGTGGTGACGTCGGCGCATTTTTCTCACGGCTATGTCCACTCTTCTAAAGAAATGTTTGGGGGTGAAAAATCGTTCCTCATTGAAATATTCTGAGAATATTTCTCGGAAGCAGTCAATAATATTACATCCCATATGACATGTAGGAATCTCGTGCCATGGCACATCCAGGTCTTTAACTGTTTGTCCTCGGTCTGTCCAGACTCTGCAATTGATGGCCTCTTGTGTTATCCTTAAATTACGAGCGATTCTCGATAGCAGCTTTGGTCGTACATTTTGTGAAGATTTCTTCATGTAATAATATATATATTCGTAAATTTGTTGCTCTCTGTTGTACAAATTTAACTCTAGTGAGAAACTAGATAGATCTCGTAAGGGGAGAACTTCAGTAAACATACGATACATGGTCAGTAACATAAGTGCTGAATTATTATTTTTCCTCTGGTTCTTTTATTCAGACCCTCAGTTATACTTTTCTGTATTCCCACGAACTCTTAAAGGAAGAGATTCTAAATTGATAGAAAAAAGTCTTTTGTATCTCATAAGTTGACGTGACGCGTTCTCGGATAGATAACAATAACCATTTGCACCCTTTCCGTTGCTTAAGTTGATGACAACATTTGATTACCTCCCTTCACCTATGGGGAGTCAATCTCTTTCTATACAAAATACATGTCTTACAATGATGTTCATTGTACTCAACCATCTCATTTATTGAATAATTTTTTCGTATTTCCACAATCACCTAAAGGAAGATTTTCTATAATTACTAGGAGTCTTTTGTATCTTAAAGTTGCTTAATATATCGTTGGAACATTTACCGTGACAATAAGTGGATCGTCATTTTATCTAGATTTGTTAAACCTATTTAATTCAGGGGCGTAGCTTCCATTGAGGCAATGAGGCAACTGCCTCACTAGATTTTTCAGCACCATTCAATTCCCATAATTAATAATACATTGTAGAAAATATTTAATTCTTTTTTTAACTAATGCATATTATTAAACATTCGAACAAATCTATAAACTGTTTTGCTTTAAATTGTTTTGCTTTCATATCAATATGTTCGGAATCAAAATTCATGAGATCGGGCTCTAGTTCCACTAAATCCTCAAAGTAGTTTTGGTGGGAAATTTAAAAAAAAATGGACCAAAACAAAAACCAAAAGAAAAAGGGGCAAACAAAGTTGACATCCTTTCTGAGGAAAAGGAAAGATGACAGTCTAGAATCGGCGTCAGGTAGGCCTATTTTACAAAACCTAAAAATTAGTGAATAATTTTTTTTATCCTTATAAACATAGTTTCAGAATTAACTAAGGCACTACAAACCTGCTTCCCATAAAAAAAAAAACCACAAATTCTTCTATTACTAGTAATTCCCTATTTTTCAGAAACAGATGAATATATTACGCCAACATTAGAACTTTCAAAGCCCGAGCAATATAACGAGAGAAAAAAACCCAAAACAGAGTCCATGGATCCAGTAAATTTTATACAGAAAGTTTTAGATGATGCTGAAAAATCAAAGATACTGTCAAGCAAATGGAATCCTTCTCCACACGAAAAATATTCATTTCCTGTAACCAATGGCAGACGATACAATTTAACTTGGGAAGATAAATTTATTTGGTTAAGATATTCGCTATCGAAAGATGCAGCATTTTGTGCCCCATGCATTGCTTTTGGTCAGCAAAATCAATCGGACAAACTTGTAACGTCTGGTCTCAGAGACTGGAAAAATGCTACGGGTTCTAAAAGAGGTACTCTACAGATTCATGAGGAATCAAGCGCTCACCAAAACGCCCTTGTTAAGGCAGTGAACCTTATGAAAGTTTATTCGGGGGAAGAAAAAAGCATCAAAAGCAGTATATCTCAAAGTTATGAAGATACTGTTCTCAAAAACAGAGAAATATTGTCAAACATTATAAACGTAGTCATCATTGCTCTCGGTCAACGGAATATTCCGTTAAGAGGTCATCGTTGGGACACTATCACAAAACGGGAGGATGGTAATTTTGATTTCTTTGTTCACTGGTTGGCTAAAGAAAAACCCGTTCTTAAAGCTCACCTTGAAAATGCAGCTTACAATGCAAAATATCTTAGTCCCGACATTCAAAATGAAATAATTGAGTTAGCTGGAGAAGAAGTACTAAACTCAATATTGTCCCGTACCAGGACTGACAAATGGTTTTCTGTTATGGCCGATGAATGTGCAGATGTAGCCAATATTGAACAAATGGATATATGCATCAGGTATGTGGATGAAAACAATGAAGTAAACGAAGACTTCATTGGATATGCTCCTCTAGATTCAGTCGATGCAGCATCCCTAAGTAATGCAATTTTGCAAAAGCTTGAAGACTGTAATTTAGATACACAATACCTTAGAGGGCAGGGTTATGATGGGGCAAGCGTTCTGTCTGGATCAAAATCTGGGGTCTGTTCTCGTCTACGGGAAGTCCAACCGCTTGCCGAGTACCACCACTGTCGAGCACATGCACTGAATTTAGTTATATCTTCTTCATGCAAGAACATACCTATGGTCAGAAACCTCTTTGTTGATGTTAATCAGCTGACATGGTTTCTTGGGGCCAGTCCAAAGAGAGTTTCGATTATGAAACGACATTTGCCAAATGCAAAACAAGTTGATTATTTAATTGGAAATATCGAAAATGAGGAAACCGAAAGTAATAAAAACATAGAAAAATCGTTTTCTGTGAACATCTTGCTTAAGCTTTGCGAAACTAGATGGTCTGCTAGAGTTGATACTCTTTCAGTTGTCATTGGAAAGTATGCAGCCATATTATCGACGCTCGAAGATGTCAGAAATGAAAGCACTGTATCCGATGCTCGTACGAAAGCCACTGCATTTATAAATATGATGGAGAGGAGTTCATTTATTGTTGCAATTGTTGTTGCACACCACATACTGAGTTATATGAAGCCTCTGACTTTGGCTCTCCAGAGTTCAAAATGTGGTGTATACAAGGCCTTTGTTGACGCACAGAATTGCAAGCAAGTTATTAATGATCAGCGTTGTGAGGAAGTTTTTCAGAGATGTATATGGTCCAAAGCATCAGCCATTGCTGACAGTATTGGTATCGAGTTACAGAAACCAAGAACGGCGGGTCATATGCAACACAGAGCAAATACTGTTCTTGCTGGCACTGCTGAAGAATACTACAGAATAAATACTTACCTGCCATTTCTTGATCATTGTGTGAAGGAACTCAACGACAGATTTTCAGACGAGACACGTCCTTCATTCCTAGCCTTCAAGCTTCTTCTAGGCCAGATAGACATACTAACCCAAGACGAATTGGTAGATATTATAGAAAGGTTCCAAGATGATTTACCGGACAGAGATGTGTTTAATCAAGAATTCGAACGTTGGAAAGTGTTCTGTGGAAACTTGCCGAATGATGGTTTTGAAAGAAATTCCTTAAGCAATGCAATCATGTTAGCTGACTCGGACTTTTACCCAAATTTGCATGTCATTTTCCGTATTTTGCTCACCATGCCAGTTGGATCTGTGCCTTGCGAAAGATCTTTTTCCGCAATGAGACGTCTGAAACACTAGGGGAGATCAACAATGAATGAGGATCGCCTGGTCGGTCTTGCCTTGCTGTTCATTCACAGACACCAGGCAGTTTCTGTTCGCAATATACTTACTAGATTTGCCGAATCCAAACAACGCAGAATTCAATTGAAGTTTTAAATTAAAAAAAAAATAATAATAAAATATGAATTCATCTTCAAATGTTTTTGAAGTTTGATAAACATTTTCATTTACTCTAGTCTATTAAATACTTTTGAAATATTTAATATCATGTGCATGCTGAAGTCTTCAATAATGAAACCGGTAAAATTACAAAATTTCTGTCCAGGACAAGTATGATATTTACCTTCTTAAACCCCCAAATTCATTTTCCGTCGGGGGGCTTCGCCCCACTGAACCCCCAACCAGGGCTCCGCCCTGGACCTGCTGGGGGCCTAAGGCGGCCCCCAGACCCCCGGCAGCAATACTTTTGCCTCACTAGACTTTTACGTCAAGCTATGCCCCTGTAATTACCTGTCGAATGTGAGCTAACTGTATTCGTCATATAAGGATCATTCATACTCATTAACATGACTACCCTACATCTAATGATCGTACACTGCTGTTTCTTATATGACCTTTATCAAAAATCGATGACAATAACTTCTTCTCACCTTCTACTTACTTCTTAAACGTTAAATCTCTTTACCTACCAGATGTGAAATTCACTTTCTTTTACAAATACACAGATTGTAGAGGGATGATAATTTATATGGACTGTGAACATCAGATCATCAATTTTCTTTATTAAAATAATGCATTTATTTCTAATTAGACGCATAGTAATTAAATGATGCATTTTTATTCAGACGCTACTATTTCTTATAAACCAATAGCTGAATCGTGTTTATACATGAAACCTGTTCTTCTTAATTGATCGCATATTAAATCCTAGTCATTTTCGAATAAAAATCATCTCAAGTGAGAGTATAATAAAGTGATTCTGACAGTGGTGGAATTGTTTTCTTAACAGGTGTTAACCAACTGACTCTAACTATAAGGTTGTTGTAACGTGAACATGAATACCCTACCTCCCTGCTGTGTTCTTACCAAAATCAATAACGTTTATTAATCCACATTTAATGACTGTATATTCTCTCCAAAATTTGGCGTGAAATCGTTTTCTTATATATTCTTACCAGAAACCGGGTGTATAATCATTTTCTTCTATATCCTTGCCAAAAACTGGGTGTATAATCGTTTTCTTCTATGTTCGTACCAAAAATCGTGCGTATAGCCGAAATCGGGCGTATAAACCGAGCGCGAAAAACACATATTTACTACTCATGTTTTTTTGTTATTTTGAAATAACCTTATTAACCACTTTTTAATTGTCATCTTTTTTTTTTTAAGGAAGCGTATAAGTGCCGCAGCAGTATTTTGTTTTAATTTGTTTTAACCGATTATTAATTTGTAAAAACAAATTAATAATTTGTTATACCAAATTACTAATTTTATAATAATTTTTTCGAACAAATTATGAATTAAAAAAAAGGCTAATGTGTTAAATGTTAAATACATTATATGCATGGAAATTCAAAGATCAATTACATGGGTATGTAAGTGTTTGGAAAACTGTTATGTCAGATCAAGAAACTGTGCGAATCATTCTCAAATGCATTAACCCAGTAGATGTCGCGCTAAATGACGCTTAGGACGCAGAGAGTATTCGAATCCAGGTCCAAATTATCCATGGCATTTAGATGGCTATGACAAATTGAAGCCTTATGGAATATGTATTCATGGTTGCAGAGATGGATATTCATGGCAAATGATATGGCTTGAGGCAGCTTCAACCCACGACTCATTGCGGGGTACTTTATGTTTCGAAGATAGAAGGTTGTCCGAATATGGTTAGAGCGGATATGGGTACAGAAAATGGAACTGTACGTCAACTACAGTATTTCATCGTGAAGATGATGCCACATGTAACCCAAACAGCGTCTTCTTGTATGGGACGAGAAGATGTAACCAGAGAATTGAGCTTGCACTATTTTGGATGAACGTTTTCGAGTCATTTAAGGATGATGGCTATTACTCTGGTGATCATCTTGACCAGGAATTGATACGCTTTTGTTTTCTTCAGATAATCAAGGTAATGACGACCATATAATAAAAGCAATCTTGCACTGTACAGAAAATTAGCATCATTTTTGAAAGGAAGGACAGCCCGACAAAAAATATTTTAACTTAGCCCCCCCAAAAAAAATTAAATTAAAAGGTAAAATTGTCCAAAGTCGAAAATCCTACTTTGTGAGGGAACGGGGAGTGAGTTGTGGTGAGGGATTATTCGATGAAATCCGTATTTTTTTCAAAACAATTTTTGTCCTTTGTTACCCCATTATCCTAAACCGTAATTTTACTATAGCGCAACAAGAAAAAGGGGGCAACTGCCCTTTCAGTTTGAATAGTAAAAAGTTTGGGAAAAAGCAAGAGGGAGACCCCCCCCCCCCATACTACGTGATTGTTGTATAACCCCCCCCCCCCCCCCCCCGGTGCTACAATATGCAGTACCTTAATCGATAATCTTTGAAATATTTATATATACGCCAAAATCTGTAATGTTGATCTTTTGAGTTTATATTATATGTACATGCACAAAGGATGAACTAGACATGGTTGCACAAACCTGGAGTAGTAACAGAATTATGAACACGAAAAACCAAAGAACGCCAAACGGGAAACTTTATGTGTTGTACAATTTTCCTAAACGTTGTGGCACCGAAGATTTCATGTGGGACGTTGTGGAAATGAAAATAGATTTATGTAAAGAGCATTGCATCAAAAAGTACGAAGTGCCTTGTGATCAACATTTGTTTGAATTGTGTCATCTTGAAATGGAAAATCATGGTTGGCACAAGCCAGTTAACCAACAAGAAGCAACTGATTTGTACATATCATTATCTCCTGTCATTGGAAAAATTTACTGAGATGAAAATTGATTCAACTTCTTTGTTGAAAGTATCATTTTCGGACATGATTATCTGATCTGTGTAATTTTAGTGTATGAATTTGTGATAATTATTATCTTGCTATACATTGGCAATTTTTCTAATTTCAGATTTGTTTGAGAATAAATATTGATAATTATCATGCAATTTTCTTAAGTTGTATGCTATAGAAAACAGTTAACAGATCATCTGACTTCCACCTGAAACGTCAAGACAAAGTAATTCAAGAATACGTAATGATCATTCAAAAATTAAACATGGACACTTATTGAATCGGGAGTCTCAGCCAAAATGCATATCCTGTGACTGTCCGATAACTATAAATCATATTCTCTTGGAATGTTCTGATTTTACGCCTATTCGAAGTGGACTTTTTTAGTAATGTGAGAACGATGTTTGAACTTTTTACAAATGTTAATGTTTATACAATTTAAGAATATTTACATGAAACTGATTTTTACAGTAAAATTTAAAAACAATCTTAGTAATTTGTGATTTGAAAAATATAAATAGTTTACATATCTTTATTTTTAATTCCGTCGGACAGGACATTAAATGGTGCCCCGTGTCAAGGATTTCAACTCCCTTGGCACGTAAAAGGTCGTTTCTCTGGATTTCGAAAAAGAGTAGGCTCACTGGGGGACGCCAGGGAAACTAACACCTTTTTAAAAACCGCTCATTTAAACAAAATTATCCGCCGAAACATGGCCGAAATATTGCCGACTCGGCGTTATACAATCAATCAGTCTTGAGGTCTAAAGAAAAGAATTCAAAGGCGAGAAATTTCTGATGCAATAACCGACACATGGATAAATAGTGGTAGATAATAACTAATGTACAATATATTATATGGTACACTTTGTTTGTTTGTATGTTGTTTAACGTCCCTCTCGAGAATTTTTCACTCATATGGAGACGCCACAACTTGCCGGTGGAGAGCTGCAAATTTTGTCCTCTACTCGGCACTTACGGCCATTGAGCAGTGAGGGATCTTTTTCGTGCCAGCACCTACTGCGACACGGGACCTCGGTTTATACTGTCTCATCCGAAGGACCGGTCTCCACGTCCCACAGTGGGATTCGAACCAGCGACATAAGGATCAACTCCTTAGTTCGCGACTCTAGAGCAGACGCTCTAACCACTGCGCCACGCAGGCGACTAGAGAATACATTGTTTAAGTGTATTTGGTGTATTTAGCAAAAAGTATGCTCCATAGTATAGTATTATTCCCAATAAGATAACTTGCCTGTATGAACGCTCCTACATTCAGCAAAAAAGGGTCTAATTAAGCCGTTCTATTTCAGTTTCAAGAAATTTAGGACACACTTTTGTTAGATTACAAGATGGACAAAATTAATATTCTATGACCGACTTAATAAGGAGAATTCCCTGATAATAGAAAACACTCAAGCACCTAGAATTGTTCTTCCGATAAATTGTACAATCCTTTGACTTCTACTGAAAGTCTCTTACTATGCTAAAAAAGCCTAGAAATTTCAAAAGTACACGTAGGTCACCGTGACCTACTTTTGACTCAACATCACATGAAATCCAAAGATGCAAAAACTGACAAGGTTTGATGATTTCTTTTAATCTTCTCAGTATCAGAAATATTAATCATTTAAGTGTTTTGAAAATTAGATAACAAATTCAGAAAGAAGGTCACAGTGATCTGCATTTTAGTTGACACACTTCAAGTCACAATAACCGCCAAAATATGGCTGAAAAATTGCTGACTCGGCGTAAAACAACAATAATCAATCAATCAAGTCACAATAATGCATCAACTGAAAAGTTTTAATGATAATAGGTTTTGATAAGTCCAAGAGTCCAAGATATGTATCAAAATTAATTTGAAAATAAATGCCTGCAAATTTCAAAAAGTAGGTCACTATACATTATTTTAGGTCAATTCACTTTTGCATTTCACTTAATGAAATTAACAATTAGAATACGGGGAAAAAGAACAAAAGCCGTCGTGTCATAAGCAAAAACAAATCTAAAAGCTGTGCACATTAATGTAGAAGGTCC